TGTAAGGCGTGCAGATTGAATCACAATCAAGGCCGGCGCCACATTTATTTTCCCAACCACAAGAAGGCTCTTTCTTCATTCCTCTCTCGTTTCCAATCCAAGCTCAAGAACGACGTCGCTTTTTACCTTAAAAAGCCTATGCCTCTTCGTCCTGAACACGCCGCCCTCAACCGCCTCTGGTGCGTCTTCTGCGACTTTGATATTCTGGAATCCGACAGCTCCTTTGCTTGGTAATCATTTTCTGTTCATCTAATTTAAGCTGATTTTTGTCCTATTATTTTTAGTTAATGGAAAATGATTAATTGCGGGGGAATGTTTCATTCATTAAGCAGTGGCAACGCCATCGCGCATTTGGCAAGTGCAGAACATTTAAAGGAGTGAAGAGTTTTTTGTGGAAATATGGAGGTGGAATGGACCGCATGGATTCGTTTCGGATTTCTGAGTCTGATTTTACTAAGGTGGCTTTGCCTGATTTTCTTCCTTTTGTTTTGGGCAGAATTATGTACTTTGCTTTAGGCTTCAAATCCTGTATTTATCTGTAATTTGTATGCCTATGTAGGAGAACAATTTTTTTAAAATCAAAATGGCATAAAAATTATTTAGAAATATAACAATAAATCTAGCAAAATTGATAAGTGATTTTTTGATCGTAAAAGAAGACACCCCTAGTGTTTCTCATTAGGGGAAACCATATATTCATTGCCGTTGGAGTAATTTTATGGAAGTTGAACTGTATCTACATTATCATTTGACATTTGTACTAAAAACTAGCAGTGACATATTGTTCCTTTTGTGGTTTAACCATGGGTTGACCATTTTTTTCACTTATTCACAAATGCAGTGGGAGAAGAAGTGCAAGTTGTTGAAGAGTGAGGCTGCTGGTGGAGGATCTCATGGATCTTTAATTGGACCATTGAATGATATCCACAATGAATCAAAATCTGAATATGTAAACAGTTTTGACAAAAATAAATTAGATTGTTTAACTTCTGATGTTAAATGTTCAAATAGTGTTGTGCCTTTACAAGATCATACAATTGAGAGATCTCAGATATCACATTCAAAAATATGTACAGTTGGACCTCAAATACTTCATGCGGGTACAGGTGTTGGCTTAGGTGCACGGACTCCAAATGGGTTACCAGGTTTTTGGTTCTCATCATTTTTCCAATTTCAATCAGGGAAAGAATTGGTGGTTTAATTAACTGATATGACGCGTCTTGATCCAGGTTTTTTCGGTAATCAACATTATACGCATTCTGTACCCAAGGAAGGTCCAGCTTACAGCTGTCCCAATGATGGAAAAGTAAGTCTTTTTCAGAAGTATTTGCTCATTTCTTTGTTTTTTGTTTTTGGTCAATTTCTATGCTTTTTTTTCAAACTTTTTATCTACAACATTAAGGTTTTTTTTTTCACCCCTTAATTTCCAAACAATGTTATGACTTTTGTGATAAATAAAATGATACAGTAAACTATTTTGATGCTAGACATCGTATACATATTGATGTTAGTTTCCTGTACATAACTCTTGCGTGCACTAATCTGATTTTGGTGTTATGAAAAGGATTTTGTCTCGAAACTTCTGTTCAACTGTTCCCTCACTTTAATGCTTATGAGGTTTTAAGTTCATGCACACGTTTGTTAGTCAAGCTTGAGGACAATGTAACAGTGATATTAAGTGGGATAAAGAGTGACTTTCTAGGAAAAAAGGTGCTGAAATTTGAAGATTGAAAAGTTCAGCAGGAGTGGCACAAGGAGGGAGAAATTGTGCTTCACATTGCTGCTGTGATTATGCTAGCCAAGTGCAAACCTTTTGATTACGTGGGTTGAGATTTTGAATAGAAGAACCTTATATGTTTTGCCCAGTATGCTTTTGGAATTGAGTACTAAGATGTAGGGTGAGTTTGCATCAAATATGAGGCTGTTGCAGCATTAAGTTTCACTTAATATTCTATGAGCAAATTTCTGAACAGTTGTTAGGGAAGGTTTGATGAAATTGGAAGGTAACTAACTTTTGAAGATTGAAGAAGTTCAAGGAATAAGTGAAATAGGTGAAAATTTCTTTTAGGTCACAAAAGGGCTGGACATGCACTTCATTTTGGTGTGAAATGCTGACAGAATAACTTCGGCAGTTTCTCCTAATGTTTTTCTAGTTTAAGAACCAAGACATTGTGGTTGAGCACTCATATTGAAGGCACACAAACATGAGGAGTGAAACAGTAATTTCTTATCTTAATGACAAGTATACCACTACATTACTTTAATTGTCAAAATTGCTTGAAAAACCTGTATATCACATCAACAAGACTTGAATGACTAAACTTAGTATGATTTGACATGTTATGGACGTTGTAATGTTGGGAGAGAGGAAGACTGGAAGTTGTGTTGTAATCCTGTGTTCTTCTGATGTAGTGCTTTGCACCTGTTATTGTTATTTGCCTGTTATGCCTCAAGAATAGGAAATAAAAACTGGGAAGATGTTAACTTGCAATTGTTACTTGTCATATTGTGTTTGCATTTCTTGATTGAAATGTCAGCATGAGGCTGTTTATTGTTTCCTTCTGTTGGGTTTTGATTTTCTCATATTAAAGGTAGCGAGATGTAATGTAATCGACCTGCATGTAGCAGGTCTATTCTTATGAAGGAATTGCAATTGGAGATAGACATTCCAAGGTACCTCCAGTGAAGAGAGCAGATTGCAGAGTAACACTTCTCTAACAGTTCCTCTTTTATTTTTGTGTTCTTTTCAGTTTGTTTTTTGTTGACATGTTCCATGCCATAAATGGGAAGCATATTTTTTTTTTGGTATGATACATTGATACTCATCCTTGGTCTTCATTGTTTGCCAATTTTATGATGGCTTTGAAGATGATAATTTTTTTTTTAATTTTGATTGATCGATGTCTTTTGACAAAGTTTCTTGATTATTAGGTTTGCAAAATCTCACTCAAATCTCTTCTTCAGCACAAGAAAATGGTGGAGGAAATGTTCATTCTGGAGCACCTCCTCCTTGGTTCAGTGCCGCTGAGAAAATTCAACTAGACAATAAATTGAATCAAGGATTAGGTGATCTTGTCTCTTCTCTTGGTGAGCAAATGAAGACCTCAAAATTAAACCCAAAAAGGGTTGGAGCTGCCTGGGCAGAGAGAAGGAAGATAGAACTGGAATTGGAGAAAAGAGGTGAGCTTGTAAGACACGATTTTGGTGCTGATTGGCTACCCAATTTCGGCAGAGTGTGGCAGTCAGGAAGTAGGAAAGATTCTAGAAAAGAATTTTTGGGGGAGAACAAGACATGGCGCAAAGTTGACAGTCAAATAGAGAAGCCAAGTCAATTTCAGCCTTACATCAGCAAAAGAATGGTAAGTTTGACTTCACATATTATTGTGTTGTTTGGTTGATTTATAATGAGGAATTTTATAGTCCTCTTAGGTGTTCATATGTCTCTTAGACCTGCTCCATGAATGATTTCTGGTACCTTCTTAGAGAATAAAATTGAGCTATCCATCTGTAGGTTGAAAAGCAAAATAAAACTTGTTTTGAATGTGCTGCCTATTCTTCTCCGGCTGCTACTATTGCCTGTAATAACAAATCTCACAATTCTTAATTTAACGTATGATTACCCTGATTGCTTGTTTTCAATTTTCAAAAGGTGGGGCATGAGAGTCTGGAACAGCATGAGGTTGTTGGGGCTAACAACTTGCTAATTTTTATATCATGGTGTTACTCATAACTTTGACTGTTTTGAGTGTTAATTACAAGGTTAGATGGATAATGGTGGGATGGTATATAATATTATGAGCTGCATGGTTAGTTGACTGATAATTATTGCATTTCTTTTGGTATTTTCTTTTCTTTAGCTTTAATGCAATTGCAGAAATAAAGGCCATGCCAAAGAGTTTAATCATTAAAACCAAAATTGGTTTCAGTTTGCAGCTTTGGATTCATATCCCTTTGTAGCCTTCATCTTGTTAGTTTCATTCGAACTTCTTAAACTAATTTCCCTGTGATTCTTTATAAAGACTTGCATATACAACGTTACACTTTCAGCACCGTTGATTTCATCACCTGTTGTATGCATACTTTCATATCATTAGGATTTTCTTTGACTTGGATACTTATTGTGACCTGGTCTGCTAGGAAGGGAACCCTATTTCAGCTTTCTGCTTTTGTTACATTAAGAGTCAATGGTGCATGTAATAAAATAAAATGGAAAGAATTGGAGCCTAATGCTATATAGTTTGTAAGATCCATCTGCTATTAGGACTCCACCAAAGAAAAGATTACTTCAGAATTGTAAATCGCTTTTTGAAGCCGTAAGTTGGCAAACTTCTGTTTGCTTGTTGCTATTGTAGTACCTATCAGTGGTCGATTTTGTAAAGCAATTGACACAGGATCCAAGAAGGTTTGCCATATTGGTTTTTCTAATACTTGATAACATTTTCATGCACTCAGGTAAAGTAACTGCACTTTTACTTTTCGCATGTATGAGGTTTCAAGTGATGTGTTACGAGGGTTGCTATTGGATTGGACAGGGGCTCTTTACCTGTGTTGCATACATACTAATATAGGCCTGCTTCATCACTCAGCTCTTCTGACCAACTCTTTGCTTTGCAATTTTGCAGCGGACAGATAATACTGCTGAGTGAAGCATTTCTGGCGCACTTCATGATATGCTATTGATAGCAAAAGTAGAATCACTAATGACAGCGGAATAGTAGGTAGCTATGTGAATTTTTGGGTTAGACAGACACAGCCAGTGTGCAGTAATATGACTGTTCTGTTACACAGCGGGACGGACATAAGAAAAATGAGCAATGTATGTATGTCTGTATCACCAATCGATATCTATGTTGACTTGCTGGGCCACGAAGTGTTGGAAGTATTTACCATTGAAGGTGGAAAAATGTTCGCTATAGATCCTTGAACGGCACTAGCGGTTTGTCAATATAATTTTGTTTCTCTAAGTTAACAAAAAATTGTCTATTGGCAAGTAAACGATGTCCAAATGTGCTTCCTCTCCTCTGGAGAAATCTTCAAATCCATCTTTATTAAAATTAAATTAAGCAACAATGATACAAGACTCTATCTGAAGACAACACATGCATACACGTAAAATTCCTCATTGCAAATCGAAAAGGGAAAGGAATAGGAGCTAATTACCTAAAGACATCCTTCAGCGCGATGGCAACTAGTATCATCCAGTCTTTCACTTTATCAACAAACTGCAGTTAGCCTTGTCTCCACGGCTTATATACGTACAAACTACCAAACACACCCCAAAATCCAAAATGAATCCCAGTACCATGCTGATGTAGAATTCAAGCTTTGTGCTGTCTTCACCATCTTCTTCCACGCTGTGATCTTTCATGCGGCCTTTGTCTTCTGCATCACCAGCATTCACTGCATCGCATTTTGTTGGAAGAGGAACGCCACAAAGTCCTGCGTTTCCCTCATAGATGGAGGGATCATTGAAGGTTTGGAACTGATTGGTTGAAGGAATTTGCCCCGACAAGTTGTTGTATGACAAGTTCAGGTAGTTCAAAAATGTCATGGCAGTCATGCTTCGGGGTATGGGGCCTGAAAGATGATTATGGGAAAGATCAAGAGTTTCCAGCAGGCTCAAGTTTCCAATTTCCTCAGGTATATTTGCGGTCAATTGGTTTCTGGAGAGGTTTAAAGTACCTAAGGCTAAGAGTCTGGTTATCTCTTTTGGAATCTCTCCGGATAAATTATTGCTCGAAAGGTCAAGAATGTTCACCAGTTCGAGGGTCTTGCCGTATCTCATCTGTCTTCCCTTCACCACCAAATCCATCTCGGCAATGTCTTTGAATGCTGATATTGGTGATATTGGAACAAATGGTAGCACTATCTGCATGTGTGTCAACTGGCCTAGGCATGCTGGGATCGATCCAGACAGATAATTGGCTGCAATGTCCAATATGTGGAGATATATAAGATTGCATACTTCTTCTGGAATGCTGCCACTGAACCTGTTGGCCCGTAATCGTAACTCAAATAGTGCTAGAGGGCTTGCCCCTAGCCATTTTGGTATCTTCCCTGCAAATCTGTTCCCTCCAAGATCAAGTAATTCAAGAAGCTTGCATTGTTTATTTGGTAATTTGAGAGATCACCAGAAAGGTGGTTGTCATTTAACTTCAATTTCTGTAGTTCAGGCAATAGAAATATTGAACCAGGAACAGTTCCGGAGAGATGGTTCGCGGACAAATCTAGAACTAGTAGCTTTTTCAAATGCCTCGAGTTGTCTAGTATCCTGCCTGAAAGTTGATTGTTTGATAGATCTAGTGAAATTAAGTTCCTCATTCTACCTATTGATGAAGGCATACGACCATCCAAGAAGTTCCAAGAGAGATTAAGCATACTCACAGATGCCAATACTTGACCAATATTTGCAGGTATTGGTCCAGAAAGTAAATTGCCTGCCAAATTTAGATTATATAGCTTATGCCAGGATGTAAAAGAACTTTTGAGCGATTAAAGGTTGATTTCTGGAGTGCAGGCGAAGGATATTCAAGTGAAGGGAGAAAACTTCCTGTGATTTGGTTATTGGACAGGTCACACCAGGTAAGTTGACTCAATCCCCAAAGCCAATCAGATATTACCTCTGAAATGCCCACATTAGTAAGGATGACTGTTGAGAGCTGCTTCTGAGTCTTCAGCCATGCTGGAAATTTAGGACCCAGTAGGCAGTCATTGATTTCAATGTCTTTAAGACTAAAAGGAGGAACCCAATTGTAACTCACATTTATCGTGAAGCTTTTGTTTGAAGATGAGATGGTGAAATATTCTAGTTTTCCGAGACTTTGAAGTTGATTTTCGGATAGGATCCCTTGCCAACTATTCTGCAACAGATCTAACGAGGCTAATTTTGTGAGCATTTTGATGCTTTCAGGCAATGAGCCATTCATTTGATTGTAAGATAGATCCAACACTCCAAATTGGTCAAGTTTCCAACAGTCTCCGGAATTGGACCAGAAATGAAGTTAAGAAAAAGTTCAAGGAATTTTAGTTTCTTAAGGAGCCCAAGAGAATGAGGTATGTGTCCACTTATTTGATTACCTGCCAAGATCAGCTCCTCTAAGCTATTCTTGCAGCACGTGGTTAGGTCTCCAATAACTGCACTTACATCTCCTGTGATCTCACTCATTGTTAAGTCAAGCTGAACCAGGGTGCTGAGGTTAGAAAACCACCGAGGGATTGGTGACTTGAATCTGTTTCCTGTGAGCTCTAGGACAGAGAGGGAAGTAAAATTGACAGTGTGTAGAGATTGAGGCAAGTTCTGAAGTTCACAAGAAACCAAGTGTACTTCTGACAAAGAAGGAATGAGATTGAGAACTTGCAGCCAATGAGTTGAAGCCAAACTTAAGTTGACACTTCCATCTTAAGGTACTCCAGAGAAGTCAGACTAGAGAGCCAATACAAATCATTAGACTGCAGGGAAGAATCGAGCTCAGATCAAGATAGCGCAAATTCGACAAGTTTCCAAGATGTTGAGGTATCATTCCAGTGAATGCTGCAAGCGACAGATTCAGGTAACTCAACATTCCAAGTGAACCCAAGAATTCTGGGATCGGAATTTGGAAACTGTTCAAGCTCAGATCAAGGTGATCCAAGTATTTCAAATCAAGCAAAGATGTACTTATCTGGCCGCCAAGACACGATGCGTTTTGGTTGCTTCCATAGTAGTTTCCAGCATCATTGAAACATTCATAGTTCTGGAGTTCAATCTTCACCACATGGCCTGTTTCATTGCTGCAACTTATGCCCTTCCATGAACAGCAGTTATCACCTGTCCAAGATGATAGAAAATGAGAAGGATCAGTTAGCCCTTCTTTGAACTTGATCAGTGCTTTTCTTTCAATCTCAATGCACCCTTTATTGGCCTTAACATCATTGGCTTCAAGTGTAGAAATTGCAGGAAACAAGCAAAGACAAATGAGTGAAAAGAATTGGATAAATTTTCCTTCCATTCTTGTTGCTGCACTAGTTTGTCTCTTGGCCCAATGTTGCTACGTTGATATATAAACTCTCAACTATACGAGAGAGAAAAATGCCTCAATCATATTAAAGAAACAGGTATTTTTTTCATGGTCCCAGCCAAATTCATATGTCCAAATCGTTAGATGTGAATGGAATTCAGTTAATACAAAGTACACACTAATGGACTTGAATACGACACCGTTCATCTCGAGACTGCCCCTGCTCCCCCAAACCCACCCCCTTTTTTAATTATTAATATTACATAGTCAATCTTATACTTCTACCATAGAAGCCAAATCTCCGCCTTTTTTGACCAATTTAATATGGATAATAATGTGACCAATAATGTCAAGCAAATGAATACTAGAAGTTTCTACTCAATGTCGAGGTCAAGCGGTCAATTTGCTTCATCTAACCAAGTCAAATGGTCATACCTTGTGGGGACGAAGCTTTTATTGATGGATCCACATTTGAATTTGTGTCATAATCATAAGGGATTCTTTTATTTTCTGGTTTGGATTGATATTTTTTAGATTTTTTTATTAAAAAAATGTAATATAGTGATTTATTGTATGTGAAATAAGAAAAAGGGGATGGATATGCAGAAAAATTTTCGGCCATCTAATGCAACAATGCGCCACTAATAACCACTACTAGTGAGACGAAAAGAGCACAATCGTTGCATAAATAGATGAGGATCAATTTCAATACAAATAAATGAATAAAAATCAGTTTAAGCTTGAATTTGGATGAAAGAAATGATAAATCAAATTGTACATAACAATAATGCGAGTTTGATTGACTTCATGACTTATATGGATGTCGATATTTTTTCTAACAAAGAAAGAAGTATACAAATACTGAGTGTGTTTGGATAGCATATTATTTAAAATAATTACTGTAACAGTTTTTGTGATGTGATGTATATGAGATAAAAAAATAAATTAAATATATTTATGATGCAAACGAAATATTATTTGAAATAATTTGCTATCCAATGCTCTCACTATTAAAACAAAAATGTATGTTTGTATGTTTCAAAGTTAATAGTGCATAAGTTAACAATTAAGTAGTAGTGAAGTTCTCATAAAATTCTTACTTGTGGCAAATGTTTACATGTTAGAAATTGATTTATTCTACCAATTTCATTTTTTCATAATTCAAAATAATCATTCAATTCAAATGAATTCCATTTCATTCAAAGTGCAAAGGCCTTCATGCTCGTTTGGATTGCTACTTTTTAGATTTTTTTTATAAAAAAATGTATTATAGCAATATATATATATGAGAGATAAAAAATTTGAAAAATATATTTACAAAACACGTAAATTCCTATCCTTAATATTACTCTTATTTCCTTTTTTAACCTTTTCATTTTCCTCTATTTTCCCGCCTATATTCCTCCCCAAAATTCACATCTATGATCTATGCAAGAAGAAGACCAAACCAAACCCCGCACAAAACCCCGAAAACCACCGCCCACACTCTTGGTGGCTCTGTCTTAACGCCACCTTAGTCCGCCGCCATGTCACTCTCCACAGCCGTCCAAAACTCACTTTTCAAACCCAAGAACGGCGGCGTCACCACATCCACCACCACGACTGTCATCAAACATCGCTTCATCTCATTTCTCATATGGCAATCAATCCTCTCCACAGTCTCTCTGCTCCTCGTCAAAACCCTCCTTCTTTACCCCTTCCGCTCCAAAAATTCCCCCTCAATCCTTCACTCCCTATTCTCTTTCCTCGCCTTCCACGTGTCCCTCCTTCTCTTCTCTACCAGTCTTTTTATCATCTCCTCTCCTCACCGGCAGAAACCCGGTTCCCCTCTCGACCTCCTCCTCACTTCGGTTCGGCTGATTTTTGTCCACACTGATAATCCCAGTTTGTCGCCTGAGGCTCGGCAAGCCGTGAAGTTTTCTTTGAGCTTTGCTCTTTTTCTGGTGGTTTCGGCTCTCTCAGGGTTTGTTGCATTGATTTCGATATGTTGGAGTAGCGGCGCGTTTCATCAGACGATGCCATGGCGTGTGGTGGTTGCGATGTTAGGGTTTAGGGGTTTTCTTATCGGATTGCCTTATGGAGTTTATTATTTGTATAAGCAGAGATGGGTTTTGCAGTTTCCTATTGTTCAGGTATTTTTGGTAATTAGTAAAAAAAAAGGTCTAAAGTTTCTGCATTTCTGAATTTTAATTGGTTTATTGATGTATGGTACATTTTTTGCAGTGGAATCTACAAATGTTGTAGTTTCTGCATTGTGCTTTATGTTAAAAGTAGCTTGATTATTTCTGCTATTTTTTTGGTTGATTTTCTTTCCCTTCTGTTGTGCCTTTGTATCAAGGTGTAAAATGAGTATCCATTTGTGGAGACAAGAAAAGTACACAGGGGTTAAACTTGTTTGTTAATGTAGAACTATTTGCTTATTGTAAGAGTAGAGATGAAAGATAATGTAAATGACTTGTGGCCTTTTGCTATATATGCTTGAGAGGGGAGTAGTGAAATTAAATGCAATATTTTTTTCCTCCATGAGCCACCTGATCCTCTTCGAAAGCTGCTTTCAGATGATATTATTGCAGTTGCTACTCACATTTTGTATGTGTAGATAGTTGTTAGGGCCATGAGGCCATAGATAGAACCATAGGAGAAAAAAATGAAAGAAATATAGAATTTGTTAATATGATAGTTCAACGCCATGTTTTTATTCACAGAGACTTCGCCTGAAATTGAAGTTTTGTTCAGTTTATTAGTTGGAAGACATATTAGCTGTAAAAGGAAGTTTAAATATTGATGTTGTAAATATAAGCATAGTACTTCTGTGTTCAAGTAACTGCAGAGGTCAATTGGTGGATACTCAATTTTGTTAAGAATTTAGCAATTGGAGCTGAAGTTACCTCATTTGTATTGATTTTTTTGTCTCTGGCTGTTCATTCCTTGAGAAGAAACACGTTTTGATGTCAGAAAAAGAAAAAGCTATGATCACTTAAGTTTAGTTGATTTATTTTTTATGTCCAAATGCTGATGCATTACCAAATTTGCTATCAGTGTTGCAAATTTTTTTTGGCTCTTTTTAGAAGGCATAGTAAATTGTTGTTCTGACATTCACTTATATTGTAATTATCTTTTACTTTTTAATGCTTTAGGCGGCATTGGGTATGAGTTGGCATATAGTTGTATAAAGCCAATGTATATGATTATTCTTCTTCTCTAATTGCAACTTCACACTGTTTTTTTGTGTGTGTACAGCGCCCTTTGTTCTTCAGTTTTAAGATGGGTCTTCCTTCTGCTTTTGGGCAAGCTTTGAAACTTTCAACTGCCGCCTACTTCTTTTCATCAGTGGTGTTATTCTTCCTTCCTGATGAGTATGGAAGTAATTTTTCTATTGGAAAATATATTGCTCAACAGATTATCTTCTATATTGGAACTTTTTTGGTGTTTCTCTGTTGGGAATTAAGTCACCATTTGCATCAGGTAATTTACTTGTTTTCATCCACCCAAGTTTTTGTTTTTCGATAATACATCAAATCTTGGCCGTGCTATTGCATATCATCTGAAGTAGGTCAACTATTAAGTAGTTGCGGCCAATGAAATTCCTCTTACTATACAGATATACATACTAAGAGGTTCATATTTGCACCCCCAAAAGGATCAGCTGCAGCTGAAACAAATCCAAGTGAGTATCTTTTAGCTGCACTGGAGGAGAGTACTCCAAAATCTCTTTTGCAGTATCTGGCTTATCTTGATCTCTGTATGGTCTGTGAGAGAAATGTTGATACCTGGCGCCGAGCTGCATTCTTTGAAGAAACTGGAGAGACTTACAGAAGAGTTATCTCTGTATGCTTGAGGCCTCTGGAGCAACTCGCACTGAATTTGGGTGCAGGTCTAGAGAGCTCACTAGGTGAGAAATCTGCCTATCTATCTGATCAATTGCGCTCACCGACTGACAGACTTGGAGATTCAAGACTACATGAATCATTTAATGATTTCCAGGTTATCTTTGTTTCCCAGCTATATACTAATCTAGTTACATGGTTTTGCCTTATCTATTTGCTTTGCATGCTTAATGTTATTTCCCATTTTAATGTGTGATTTGGATTTTATTAGATTTTTGAAGTCTTTAAGATTGATATACTAGTAAACCAAAAGGACATGATACAGAGCTGCATATTATGATCAGGTTTTAAATGAGCTGTATACTAAACTTGGGGAGAGTTTCTCTTATTGGAATTTTAGATTTCAGCTGAATATTGTATTATTCTCAAATTGTTGTTGAAATTTGATATAAATATAGACTTTCCATTTAGGCCAATATTCATAAATTTGTGCTATTGCTGATTATGTCTCTTCAAAATGATAATCAATTTTAACTGTTTGAAGTTTGAACTAATAACTCTTGAGATTTAAAAAGTGGTCAATTTTTACTCAAGAAAACCATACATGAGCCCCGTGTTTGTGACTCAAGAAATGATATGCTATCAAGATGCTTAACAAACACATACGTGTCTTAATGGGGAAAGATCAATAATATTAAATCCAAAGTCTAGGATGGGGAGAAAAAATCTACAACAAAGGTTTAGGAAAGGAGAACATGTGCTTTGTGTAGTAGCACTTGGAAGGGCAAAGGAAAGGAAAACATATAATTATGTGATTAGTGGCGCATTAGCATGGCATTTAATTGACAGATTGAATCTGCTCAAATGTTATTATCTCTCTTTTCTTCTAAACCAGAGGTATTGTCTGAAGAATCGAAGCAGCTCCTGTGAATGTCTTCTATTTGAAATGCTAATTGCTCTTGTTAACTGTATGCAGCTATGCGCATGGTGTGCTCGGATAGTAGCTTCATTGACTGCAAGTTCACGCAAGGAGGACCGATTTGGTGTTGCTCAGCTGTCTGGGAACAACACTGCTGTTATCTCAACATTGCTGTCTGCATTATTGGTTGTTGAAACTTTCATGGGGAAGAAGACCAATATACAGTCTTCTCATCATTTGATGGGTGCTGCTGGAATTAAATGGGCCCAAATGGGCACAGCAAGCCGAGATTCTGCTGTGGGTCTTAGCGAGAAAAGAAGAGGTAGCCCTATCTATATGAAGGCATATGCAATGGCTGATATACTGAGAACTTCCATTTACTTCATTGTGTCCGCTTTCCATGACGAGATGCTGGATAGTGCTAAAGCAGGACATCTTGAGAAAGACTGGATAAGCAGTAGTAAGGTTCTTTATGGAACGCGAGAGCTGCTTTCCCAGAAATTACGTCTTTTTCTGGATTTTCGAGCATGCTAGTGAGACTTTTGACCTGTGTCTTGCCATTTTGTGATGCCCCATTAGACCAATTTTGAAGTGGGTCTTTTGCTTGAGATGGCCGACTGTAACAAGGGATATTAGATGATTACATGTTTATCTGGCAAATCAAGGGTATTAACTATAAATGGTTATGCATTTTTGTCTGCTGCTGTAGAGAAGTTGCACATGGGTTGTAACACTAAGCTGAATACGAAATTGTACAACACGAAGAGGGAAGAAGTTAGTATGCTCGGGCTTTTCTCTCGTTTTTGTAAAGATTGATGTTCTTGCAAAGATTCAAAGTTGATTAACTATGGAAACTTTTGGTTTGCAGTTAAATGATAAATATTTGATTCGAATGCCATTTGAATACTGCGTGTATGCTTTTCTGGTCAAAATACAATCTGGCGTATACTTTCGAGACAAACAAAATATCACGAGTTTGAAAAACCAAGAAATGAAGAGTGAAATGGATGAAATCAACCACATTTATTATTTTTAATGATATTATTCAAGAAAAACTAAGCGAGTTACTCAAAATTTTGATCAACAGGTAGGGAAAATGAACGAAGAGCTCATAGTTGTACGGTTCTCATGGATGGGAAATTGTACCATGAGGAGCCCCCTAATGGTCACACGAGAACATAGGATCAAATACTCAAAAACATGCTCATGTCCCCTCTTTCAATAAATTATGAAATCTCTGGAGTTCAGGCAACGATCAAATTTAGCCATGTTAAGCCAGTTACTAAGTACTTGCAAGGAAAAAGCTCAGGTTTAAAAGAGTTGCCAAAAAAAAAAAAAAAAACCTTCTTCAAGAAGAGGAAGGGGAAGCAAATGGACCCTTGACTAGATTAAGTTTGGTTGTCTGACTGTCCATCGGCTGGTTTCAAAGGAGGATACTTCTGTTTTACAATCTTTTAGTAATAGTAAACTAGCTTAACATGGGGCTAGCATATGCGAGCGGAGAAAATGCAGGCCCTCAACAGATTGGTTCAGGAGCATTCTTTGTTGAGAATGAATTTCCTGACCTTAAGTCAAGAATCAACTCCTGCATCATCAAAACTGCAAGGAAGAAAGTACTTGGAAGTTGGAAGGGATGATATATTCCCTTTTCATTTTCACATCTATAAGTCAACTACATAATGATATCAACTAAGTTGCTTGTGATGTATGTATAGCTTTGTTCAGTTTCTGATGAGTTGAAATCAATTAGATGAGTTATATTAAGCTCCTAAGACAGACAGTGTTTTCACCTATGATTTGGACTATTATTTATTTGTTGCCAATAATTAGTATGTGGCAACACAAGCCAGTGAAGAAGCAATTCTTTCATCATTAGCATACATTCTTCCACTTGAAAATGGAGGCTTACATGCTGAGCATTAGCAAGTATTCATCTTTCACTGTTTCCTCCATCATTCTTTTATTGCTTAGCATGAAATTTCTAGAGTATACTACTGCTTTCACACTTGGAAATGAGACAGATAGAGCTTCATTGCTGGCTTTCAAGACAGAAATAACTGAAGATTCTCTAGGTGCCTTGGCATCTTGGAACAATTCTCTCCATATTTGCAAGTGGGCTGGTGTTGCTTGCAACCTCAAACACCAAAGAGTAACAAGTCTGAATCTCCAAGGACTGAAGTTGAGTGGAACCATCTCACCTCATCTTGGAAATTTGTCTTTCTACGCTCTCTTGACCTGTCTGACAACTACTTTCAAGGTGGGATTCCACCAGAATTGGGCAACTTATTCAGGCTTCAATACCTGAACATGAGCTTCAATTTTCTTGGAGGCATATTTCTGCAAATTTGTCACAATGTTCCAACCTCACGGCTCTTGTACTGGATCACAACTACTTTGTCGGACAGATACCATATGAACTTGGCTACTTAGTAAACCTCAGGCAACTCTATCTTGGAAACAATCTCACAGAAAGTATTCCAGCTTCTATTGGAAATCTTGCAGCTCTCCGGGTGCTGTACTTGTCTTACAACCATTTGCAGGGTGAAGTTCCAGGTTCCATATCTCAGCTTAGAGATTTAGCGGCACTTGGGCTATCAGATAACAATCTTTACGGTGAATTTCCTCCTGCACTTTATAATATGTCATCTCTCAGATTCATTGCCCTGACGGACAACAAGTTCACAGGCTTCCTAAGACCTAACATTGGCCTTTCTTGGCCGAATCTTGACAGGATCTATTTGGCAGCTAATTTTTTCACTGGGCAGATTCCATATTCATTTTCTAATGCTTCAAACCTTTTGCAACTTGAACTTCTTGGGAATCAATTCACAGGACAAGTACCTTTTGAGTTTTGGTAGCTTGGCTAATATTCAGTGGATCAATGTTGGTTTCAATCTTTTGGGAAGTGGCCAACCTGATGATTGAAGTTCATATCCACTTTGACAAACTGTAGCAATTTATTATTCCTGCATTTTGGTGACAACAATTCGGAGGCATCTTACCCAGATCTTAGCCAATCTCTCCACTCAATGATGAGACTTTACTTTGAAAACAATAGCATCAGTGGAAGCCTACCTAAAGAGATAGGTAATCTCATAAATCTGAATACACTTTACGTGAGCAATAATCATCTGACTGGAATTATTCCAGCTTCAATTGGACGACTTCAAACCTGGGAACACTTGCTTTAAGTTCAAACCAGTTTACAGGTGAGATTCCGTCTTCCATTGGCAACATAACAGCTGATAAATTTTTATACTGCCACCAACAATCTTGAGGGAAGTCTACCTTTAACTTGGGAAATTGTTTAGAGATGCAAAGTTTAGACCTTTCACAGAATAATCTGAGTGGCAGACTACCTGTACAACTGATGCAGATTACAACACTTAGAGCAGTAAATTTCTCTTACAATTCCCTGACTGGTTCCATACCCCCGGATATTGGAGACTTGAGCATCTTGTTTATGCTGATTTTTCCTACAATAGGTATTCTGGTAACATACCAATCAGCATGGGAAAATTATCGGCTGTAACAATTCTCTACACGCAGAATAATTCACTCCAAGGGACGATACCTTATTTTGGGGGTCCGCTATCTCTTCAGTATCTAGATCTCTCCTGCAATAACCTTTCTGGCCAAGTTCCACCTTTTTTATGAATCTTTCTTCTCTGGTCTACCTTAACTTGTGATTCAATAATTTAGAAGGTAAGATCCCCACAGAAGGAGTATTTGCTAATGGTAGTGCAGTAGAAGTGCTAGGAAACCCAAGCTTTGTGGTGGGATCCAAGAACTGCATTTGCCAAATTGCCTCTTGCAAGATCCAGAAAAAGTACACAAGAAGCATTCTCTCTCTCTCAAGTTGACACTGACGCTAGTTGGGGTGGCTTCAATCATATTCCTATCACTCTTGCCAAGAAACAATCTATGATGTTTCTAAGAAACAATCTGATGTGTCATCTAGTTCCAGGCAAATCTATCCAAGTGTTTCCTATAAATTGCTCCATGATGCAACAGGAGGATTCTCTTCAGAAAACTTGATTGATTCAGGTAGTTTTGGAACTGTAGACAAGGGAACTCTTAGTCCAGATGAAACAGTAATAGCTGTCAAAGGTACAGCACCTCCATCTGCCAGACGCTTCTAAGAGCTTCATGGCTGAATGCCAAGCCTTGAGACATACAAGGCACCGCAACCTTGTCAAGGTAATAACAGCATGTTCAAGTTCTGATTTCCAGGGTAATGATTTCAAAGCTATAGTATATCCCTTCATGACAAATGGGAGCCTAGAGGAGTGGTTACATCCAAAATCTGAATGGCACCATAATGGCTTAAACATTAGTCAGAGAATCAACATTCTCGTAGATGTGGCTGCCGCAATATCTTAACTTACATGAGCCGTTAAATTGCCGTCTAGGAGGATATTGCCTGGCTTTATATCACAGTGAACCACAGGATATTCCTCTCACTAGTGCAAAATGCCTTTACTTGCGCACTGTTTTATATTCCTTGAATTACGCTAACTTTTAATAGAAGTTAATAAAAAGTTAGTAAGGTTGCGGCGCTGTGAATTTGCCACGGTCATATTGAGAATTTGAAGAAGCAAATGACGGTTTGGCAAAATTAAACTAAAGTACACGTATACAAAGTCATGAAGTCATTTTGGAAGTAGGTGTAATTTAGAAAACTACATCTACATGGTGCAAACACGTTCTTTTGATAAAACGGGATATTCTTTTCATGTACAAGATTAAAAAGGAGGCCAATATGCTTCATCAACCTAAGGTATCATGCGCTCATATCAGAAACTCTTTGAACTAGAAATGTGCTGTTCTTTCATAACATTTCCCATGGCTCTGACAGTCTGCTTGAAACAAACTCCTCAGGAACACCATCACATGCTTTCACAAATTGGAAAAGAACACAAAACAAAGGAAGGCAACATGCAAATAAGCAGGCTCCCATAGATTTACTAGTTTAGAGTGAAGGCAAGTTTTGTCATTATCATATCAAATAAGATGACATGAGATTCCAACTAATTTTCATGTGAGATGGCATCGGTGCGACAAAACGAAGGACATCTGGTTTTGAGCTGTACTTGAGTTTTGACTGGTAATTACTGCCTTTACTTGTATGGATTTCAAGAAACTTTTCAATGTTTGGAAGTACCATCTCTCGACAATGCAGATGAAGTAGGGGAACCTTAGACAAGACACTCCCTTTCTGAACATCCAAACCTTCTGGCCTTCGCAATCTATAGGGTTCCCCACTGTTTGGCTCAAAATCTACTCTAGGCATTTGCTTCCATTTGTGATGAACAAACCAGCCATATTTATAGTCACCCACAATTGGAGTACCAAGAGCTTCAGCACAGTGCACACGAAGCTGAAGAAAGAAGAACAAAGTCAGATAATGTACAATTCCCACAGTAAGCTTTCCACAGAGGTACGTTGAAATAATAACATTGCAGAGGCAAACCATTCAGACTGTAGGCCTTTAGCAATTATAGGTCAAGCTAATGATATTACGTGTAAGCATCTGCAATATAACAGCACTTGCAAGTACTTTCTTTAATGGTCCAGACGAGGCATCCAGAGGCAAGATTGGATTGTTTAAGTTTCCAAATTAGGTATTCATGTGTACAATAAGGTGTTAGACGAAGGCAAAGCTGCTCAGGGAATAGAGAGCCATAAAATGTTTGCATGCAGAAGTTGGAATATCAGAGCACTTAAGGACGATGCTACTCCACGGGAACATCAATTAGTGGCCTTTATCCAACTTGTCTATTTATGGAATTACTGCCAAAGCTTCATCTTTCCCATCAATATCCGTTTCTTCAAAAAGCTAATCATACATCTACCTTTTTTTCTGTAAGTGCTATTAACAATTAAAAGGATTGGACCAAAGATGAGATAACTCACAAGATCTAATCAAACGTACAAAACTCAATGAGAAAAAAAAATGAGAAGCACATTTTTACAGTTGTCTGAAGAAGTAAAATAGTTCATGTTATCATTATCTGAACTCTCATTGTCAGGTAGAAGCATACAGTTGAGATCAGCGGCAAAGAGTGATCCTTACTTTTGAAACACAATTAAACAAGTCTTAACTCTGACCCTAGGATAGGGAACTGAATTATTTCCATCAATCTAACAAATCTCATTTCTGAATAAGCAATAAAGGTTGTAGGCTTTAACTAAAGAAAGAAGCAACGGGGAATAATACCTGATGCTTCCGGCTTGTATGTGGACGTAATTCAATCCATGAGCATCCATTAATCATAGGACCAAGCACCCTATATTCAGTTATGGCCTCTTGGAAAGCTTCAAGGCCTGAACGATTCGCCACTATAACCCTTTCAGTCTTCCCATCATCAAGCATTACCTGCAGTGAAGAAAGAAAGCAAAAGCATCACCAAGTTTGTCTAATACACAGATATTCTGTAGAAGATAATTGAGACTTGAGAGAGAGAGAGAGAGAGAGAGAGAACCTTTGTAATAGGTGCATGAATTAGACCTTCCTTCTCTTTAGGGGAACCTATGACTAGTGCCCAATACCGTTGATATGTTGACTCACAAGCATCACCCCAACCCTAAAGGTCGAATGTTTAATGTATCAAGATGCAAGAATAGTAAAACCAGTTCATGAGACCCTATGCGACTCAAGAAGCACGCTTTCATGAGTAACAGTGCAACCCCTTGAATACATGGGGGAGAAATTTGCAAAAAATAGGTACAGAAAGCTAGAAGCAAAGATAAGGAATGATTTAACATCTATCAAGCCATAACAAGTAGCTCTTAGACTACCTTAGACAAGGATTTGGCCTTATTTATGTCACTGAACAATAAATGGAGATAGGAAATGCTTTCCTTTGTTCTGCCCATCAGGAGGAGGCCGCTGCTTTCTCTGTCAAGACGATGCACCTAAACATGCAAATGAAAAAGCTTTTCCTTCTGAAAATGAAAGAAAGATTGCTATTTGATAATATTGAGCAATAGGTTTTAATTTAAAGATTCATCATCCTGAAGACCAAGGTAATACCAACTTGAATTTATTTACTAGACCCTATAAAGGCATATTCTAGCAATAACAGTTATACCGTTCGTGATGAATAAATCCATCATTTCAAGTAGATGACCTATCAAGAGCTTGGAAGGCTAACAAGCAAGCATGTGTAACATTAATGATTTTTGTCACTTGTCATGATTTAACTTTTGAACCACCATCATTTGCAAAAACAAAAGACTTAATAAGACATATAAGGAATTGTCAAGTTGGTCAAGAGAACTCACAGCAATCAGCCAACATTTAACCTACCAATTTAGGGCCTTCATCATAATCATATGACAATGCAGCGGCAGCCAACGCATCCATGCTGTTGTGAATTGGCAGGTTACCCTATTGCCAAACCATGTATATTAGAATAGGAAGAATAGGAAATGAATCAAGGACAGCACTTTAACACCGCAAAGAGCATAGGAGATCCTAACCTTCACTGGCAGCTTAGGAGGCTTATTCAGCACAAGTATAGCAGAGTCCTGGCATATTTTCCGGCAGATATTAGTTCAGCCAGTTATTTAGAATGCACAAAAGATCTAGAGTTTTCAAACCATAGCGCCAATATTCCACCAATGCAGAACAAAATCAAAAGCATGCAGGGTAATGCACAAGACGGGATCCATAAAGCCCTTGATTTTAAATTTTCTTCATGGTCACTGGGTTCAAAGGAATTCAACCATCAAAAAACGTAGTTGCATTTATTTTCATACACTATAATCAACAAATATCTAATCCATGCACTTAACTCAAATAGAAATAGACAAATACATCAGTAGATGAATAGATGAATATGCCTTGTATTTTACAAGTCTTTGCAAATACTCTATCTCATCTGCATTTGGGTATAGAGTCCCACTTGGTATGATGTCAAACCTCTTGGAAATCTTAGCTTCAGCAACAGAAACAGGTACAGACACTCTTGCCCCCGGCTCCATGGCCTCATTGTGATTAATCTATGAATCATTATACAATGAGATGACACTCAAACTAAACTGAAAACTTAGAGAAAATTAATGAAAAAAGCAATAAGCTGAGGAAACAAAAAAGAAAGCTGGAGAGCATGAATGGCTTGAATTTTCTGCCTCTAAATGTATGAGTTAAGGCTGACAGGTGAGTAGATCATATGAACAGCAGTACCTTCCTCGTCGATTTTGTTTGCATTCCCTGACTCTTCGAGGACATACTGGAATCAAGGCTTTCCATCTGCACCTGCAAGAGAACAATTTAAAGTAAAGGTATCAAGTGACAAATGAAAAAGGTGAACAAGAGGGGAAAATTAAACAATAATAATAAAAAAAAAGGAAAAAGTGAACATGAGAGCGTTATACTGACAAGGCCCTTGTTGAAGTGAGATTGAACGACATCGCCAGGTATGTCATCAAAATAATACTTGAGCCAGCTAATGGCAGTGACGTGACCAGTGGACGAGTTCCTTCCAGGCAAAGGGTGACCCGGAAATGGGGGCAGAGATAGGAGCTGGCGAGGTTTTGGTCCCTTTCTTGGGCGGCCCAGATGGGCTACATTGTTCGTTACTCGTATCACCCGTGGAGGCTGGACCTTTTTGGACCTCGAGTAATGCCGGACACTATAACCACTAAGTTTCACAACCTTATTCCACCACATTCATCCGATACCAAAAGAACAGCGCTAGACCCTCGTCCTTCATCCAAAAACAGCCTCTGTCAAATGATTTGTCTATATTCATTAATCCTATGAGAATTAACAGTGCAACCGCTAAAATTTTGACTGGTTTATAATATGTAAAGAAAAGAAACTGAAGAAAGTGAAAGTAGCTGCGTCAGTTTTTATCAATATGTTGCAGGATGGTGGAGGTAATGGGACTTGAGGGAGGCATGCAGCAAGCCAAGAAATGAAGCATTTTTAACAAAAAAGAGTAATCCGACGACAGCAATACAAGCAAATCATACTAGTTAGCTGCAGCATTTATTCAAATACTTAGTATGCATCAAGAATAGCCCACATAACCATCCACAAAAGCTCAAGACAGAACATTTATCAATTATTCTAGTATATAACGTAGAGTTACGATCAAATTAACTAGGACAAGTTACCTTCAATACTGGTTAC